CAGGAGTGGTGACTCCACCACTTCCCACATGTGCCAGCCCAGCTGGTTTCCCCCCAGCACTCCCACCCCCCGAGCTGGGCCTCAGCATCCCTCACGCTCCCACCCAGCTGAGCTGGTGCATCACTTCGGAGAGAGAGAGAACAAGTGGTCCCAGGGGCTGCAATCATTAATCCAGGCCTGTCAGCACTAAACAAGAAACAATTAAAAGTTTTCAAGCAGACAGAGCTCAGCTTTTTAATCCCACAATTACAACCAGCATCGAGAATATCGAACCATTTGCTGAAGGTACAGAGAAGGGAGGTGTGACAATCCTCATGGCTATTCCCAAGAGATGCAAGGGTATCCCAAGAGGGGTGGGGAGGTGACAAGATCCCAGCACTCCACATGACAGGGGTGATGGTGGCCCAGGGGATGTTGTCTGTGGGGACCTGGGGGCTGTTGAGAACCACAACGGTGGGTCCTTACTGGTGTCACTGGGCAGAGCAAGTCTCCATCCTGCTCTGCCCTGATCTGAAGGATCCATTGAAAGAATACACATTTTCTTCAGCAAAGAGGCTGCTCTTAACTGCCTGAACACACCTAGGAATAGTCCTTCACACTTCTGTGAAGTTTACTCTCAGGGAAAAGTTCCCACATTCCCAAAGCACAAGGGAAGAACGTTCTCAAAGCAGAGGGTTTGCCATGAAACCAGTTCCCCGGGCCCATGTCTTTGAAGACACAGAAGGAGCGAATTCCCAGTGGATACAGGAGGGATGAGAATCCAACCCGAAGCATCTAGGCCAGATTTTTGTTAGAAAAACACCATTTCTTTCCTAAATTTCCTGCTAATATTCCCCCCTCCTCCCTCTGAGCACACACACGTGCTCTTTCTAAGAGAATCCTAACGCTTGCAGTCTGTCATTCAACAGGAAAAAAATAGCAAGAGCCAAGTACAGGGATGAATAAAATTATCCCTGTGCATATAAATGTGCAATATGTAAATGAACACTCCTTCCTGAGGAGGAGGAGGAGGAGTGGGGTGCGGCACAGGGCTTTGTGTGAACCCTCTGCACGTGCTGGGTTCCACAGGAACAGGAGAAACCGTGAGGAGCTGAGTTTTTTCAGCCCAATATCTCATTTATTAACCTAATAGGAGTATTTTTGGCACCGATTCATGAAAGCACTTAGAGATATTCATCCCTAAGCACCCTTCCTGGAAAGCAATCCTGTCCTCCAGGCAGGTACACAGCATTATTTTCAATGCAGCCATTGGCTTTGAGGAAGAAATAACACACTTTTCATGTATGGGAGCACATTTAACCCCATTGTTTCAAAAGCAGTTGCTCTCTGTGCAACAAACACGGTGACTTTTAAGAGCTAATTTTCTCCCAGACACCAAACAAAATGGTGTCTTCACTTACTTATCCTGGGCTGGGAGAGTGGGGGTTTTGCTTTCTTTTTATTATGTGTTTTTCACATTACACTTGCTAATAAAGCCGCTGTTGTAAAAAAAAAATTATATTGAACAACATAAATTGAGGTTAAATGTGCTGATTTTAAATATGTTCTCAGCCAGTGCTAAACAAGAGGTGACACAGGCAGGAGGGGAGAGCTGATTACTTATGCTGACTATTACTTCACCCCTCAGAGCCACAATGACCTGAGTTTTCTTAATCACCAGACTATTCAGCAGAGTGGAAATTGCACCCACATGGAATATTTATCACCCTCTGAATCCAGCCAAGCCTCCATACCCAGCAAACCCAGATACCAAGATGTGAGTGACCTCAGCTCCTCTGGACAGAAACCCAACCCCCCGTGGAACGTGTTCCTGTGGCTTTTTACCAAAACCAGACATTTTAACTGCTTCAACTTCTCGGTGGATGGAAAGCTGACACTGTTACCAATCAGCCAGGTTAGGAACTTTAAAAGTTTATATTATCATAGAATCATGGAATGGTTTGGGTTGGAAGGGACCGTAAAGATCATCAAGTCCCACTCCCTGCTGTGGGCAGGGACACCTTCCACCAGCCCAAGTCCCATCCAGCCTGGCCTTGGACACTTCCAGGGATCCAGGGGCAGCCATAGCTTCTCTGGGCAACCTGTGCAAGGGTCTCCCCTCCCTCACAGGGAACAATTACTTCCTTATATCTAACATAAATTTCCCCTTTTCCAGTTTTAACTCATTCCCGCTTGTCCTGTCATTATAGTTCCTGAAGAAGAGTCTCTGTCTGGCTTCTCTCTATCCCGTTCAGATACTGTCAGGCTGTTGCAAGTATCTGGTAAATGGTCTCAGGAATTAAAGCTTTAGGAAAAAAATAAATGTATGAGACAATGAAGATTTTTATGCAGCAAACAGTCCCATCCTCTCCCCAGCCCCTCTGCAGATATGGAATTATGACAGGAATGGGGTAGTGCCACACAAAAGTCTGGAAGGAACAAACAGCATGAAAAGCCCCTACAATTGGATAATTTCTCAACAATTTTCCATGCTCTGAAGGTCCCTTTGAAAAATCCATGTGGCAACTGTCAGGCAGACAAAAGCCTCTCTTTGTAACTTCAGTCTCCCAGAATCACTCTCATCCCTTCTCCGACAGAAATCACTGCTCTCATTGTGTAGGATTAACCACTGGGCAGCAGAACGAGACACAGGAGAGGAGGAAACCACCAGAGAATCACAGAAACACGGAATATCCGGAGCTGGAAGGGACCCACAAGGATCCTCACAGCCAGTGAGCCTGGGTGGAACCTCTCTGTGCGTTCACTGTTCAGCTCCTGGTGCCTTATTTTTATCTGAAAGCTCCCCCAGTCACATGAAGATTTTTGAATCAAGTTGCTTATCAATCCTGCCAGGTTTGGAGTGTGCTGTGATAGCATTTACCAGGCTGCTGTAAAATCAGGGAGGGTTATTGGGTGAAACTGGAGAGAAACACATCAGAAGAATACCTCGAGCTGTGAAGTTGTCTTCACAAATCTAATAATAACTCCAAATTTTCTTTATGTTTTCGATCATGATGGTTTACTAATGAATAGAACTGAGGAGGGTCTTTATATAAACTGGCAGTCAATGTCCCCTAGCAAAAAATAAACCCCCAACTTTTTATCTGTTGATAAATATCATTTCTTAGCCACTCTGTCCAACGGCATGAAGTTGTGTCAGGGGAGGGCTGGGATGGATCTGAGAAAAAAGTTCTTCCCTCAGAGGGTGGTTGACACTGCCCAGGCTCCCCAGGGCAGTGGGCACGGCCCCAAGGCTGCCAGAGCTCCAGGAGGGTTTGGACAATGCTCTAAGGGACAGGGGGGGATTGTTGGGGTGTCTGTGCAGGGCCAGGGGTTGGATCAGTGATTCATTGTGGGTCCTTTCCAACTCAGGATATTCTATGATTCTTTCTGCTGCTGAGGGATATTTCTGCTTTCTAAATCTCTCAGATTAGTAGCAAATAAGAGACAGACCATAAGGAATAGTTGAGGAAATGTGATAAATACTCTGAATAACAAAGAGCAGAAGTGCTGCTTTCCCCGCTCCTTTCCACGTCACCCTATAAAAGCAAACGAATTCCTATCATGACTGCAGAAGGATGGAAAATAAACTCCTTCCTTTTACAATATCAACAGCAAATTAAACTAATAATTTTAAAAATCTACTCCAGCAATGCAGGGAAACACACCCTGAATTCCAAGTGCATCGGGAGCTCTGCCGGAGTCATCGAGACACGGACGTGCAGAGCATGAGCAGGGGTTTGCCTGGTACAGGCCTGGGTGCAGCTGGAACAGGGGATTTCAAACAGATGGAAAAGGGAAAGTATGCAAGCAGAAGACAGATGGGAGTCACCTTCCCAATCCATATCCAGTGGAGTTTCATGTGTGACCCCAAAATGGAGCTCTGAACAAAAGTGGGAGCCTGCACTTTTCTTCTCTTGCTTCTGGGCAATAACAGTTCTCAGCATTTTATGGACACCATCCTGGTTTGTCCCCAACCTTTCCAGGTCTACATTTCCCAGCATATCATTCTCAAATCTCCCTGACAGAGGAATGTTTGAGCAGGTGAACCCCTGCAGCTCCATCCCACCCCCTGGGAGGGTGAGCACAGGCTCCAGCGAGCTGCCCAACCCCTGGGGTTTGGAGGAATCCTCATCCCTCTCCTTGAATTACCACCTGCAAAAGCCACTGCTGGAATTCCAGATCCTTTGAGGAACTACTGGGATGCTCCAAAGAGCAACCCTGCCCAATCATGGAATTGTGACTCTGTCACAACTCACAATCTCTCCCTCTTGTTCCCAATTTCTCCTTTCAACAGCGAGCAGGGAAAACAAAAGGCACCAAGTGTATCAGAGGTCCCTTGTAGGACAGAATTATAGACAGTAAAAAAGCTTTTTGGAGGTTTCCCTCAGTACAAGCACAGGACACTGGCTGCTTTTTCTTAAAGGTGGGCACAGAGTGGGGTCAGATTTTAGGCAAAACACAAGTTTTTCAAACTGTTACCAGTAGAAACACTTTTTTTCAGGCTTTTATATGGATGTTGCACTCCAAGTGCTTTTGAAAATCCAACTACTTCACCATCTCTAGGTGTTCAAACCACAGTCCCAGCAAATCAGATAAACAAAACAGTTTAAAAATATGCATGAATTACAAAAAAAACCAAAAAAAACCAACAACACTTTGCTGTAGAAGTTTATAATTTCTCTGATGTGCTCTTGGCATTCAAAATTTAAGCATCAAGTTCTTTGAAATTACTGTAACACTTTCCCTGTGCAAAAACCACAACACAAAGCTGAACTAAAACACACCTAGAAATTTCTCAAAAAAACTAGAGAACGTTTGTAAACCAGAGAGATCTTTTTTCAGAATAGAAAGATTTCTCTGTCAGCATGAAATCCAATCCATCCCTGGGTTTGACCAAAGCAGCTGCTTTAACAAACGAGGGAATGATTTGGACACAGAAGCCCTTCAAAGCCTTTTTCTTACAGATTTTTGCACCAATGGACCTTAAAAGCCCCAGTGAAGTTTATTAAAGTCCTTACCAGTTAACTTCTTCACAGGTTGGAGCCGAACACTGATAGACTGATGTGTGAGTAAGGGGGAGGATGGAAGGGAGCGGGACATGCCCTCCATAATCCGAATGTGCTGCATACCTTCGGTCACTGGGAGAGGAGGAATTGCGTAGTCGGGTTCAAAAGCACAGTCGTTCTCTGTGGAGGTGCCTGGAGGGGAGAGAAAAACCAAAATGGACAGGTTAGAAAGGGAGCAAGGGAGAGGATCCTGCTTTGCCATTCCAAGACATGCACTGGCACGGGGGGAGCCCCGCGGCAGAGTCGCCTCGCCGGCAGCTCGCCTGTGTTCCTCTTGAACAGTGTTGGCACTTCCCTTAAAGAAATTATACTTTGGAACAGCATCTCAGCACCCCTCTCTACAAGATGAACAGCAGAACCATGAAGAATTTCTTTCAATGTTCTTAATTTGTCTGTCAGAGTCCGAGAGTCACCAGTTTCTGACACAGCGATTGTCACCAAACTGATGGGTTTTAGATTGTGGGTTTCTAATAATAAACTCTTCCAGTTGAATTGATTTGCAATATGAGGACCTTTAGCCCCCCCAAAAATTCCCAACCCCCAAATAAAATGGAAGAACAAAAGTCTCCAATAACAAGCACCAGCTCCAACTCTCCCCAGAGACACACAGAGCCCGTGTGGGGGTCACATCACTGAAGATCCACATGTAAGACACAAAATAACACGAACACAAGTGGAGATAGAACAATAAAAGCACATATTGCTAATTGGTGCAATCAATATTAATGACAAATGAAGGGCAGGTGCTCCAGATCAGCAAAAGTCAGGAGCCAGAAGGTTCCTCCCATTAGCTGCAGATACGGAAAGCTCAGGGTCAAGGACACCTGGATCTCCACCTCTCATCAGTAAGATGAACAACCTAACCCAGACTACTCATAATTCATCTGCAAAACCAACCTGAAACTGTTAACATGAATATTTCATCACTAATAATGTGAGAAGGCCACGTTTCTGCCACACCGTTACGAGATGGATTTTGGCTTTTAGTGCTCGCTGATGTTTTCCCTCCATAAAGATGTTCCTTATTGGATTTCCACTGGATAGCTGTGCTAGCTAGAATGTGTTTACAAGAGAAAATGTAACTGCTGGATGGAAGAGGAGACAGACAAAAGTGGAGAGAAGACAAAAGGGCAGGGCCTCAAACACGTGGTGCTCCACAGGAGACAATGGACTCGCTGGATTCCCAATATCCAAAGGACAACGTGAACAATCCAACATGCTGTTGGAAAAACCCACATGGAAATAACTGCCAAAAATCTTGGACTGGTTCCTGAAGGGTTCTGGGAGGTTGAAGCACCGATGGCTGAGATCCATCCATTCCAGATGCCAGCTTTCAGGAACATCTCTCGGCGGTTTTGTACCATCCTTTATGGGAAATGCGAACAAGCACTAACACCCTTCACACACACAATGGTTTTGACAGTTCCAAACACAGCTCTCCCTCTCTGTTCTCTGAACCCTCTCAGATACCAAGAGCTGAACCTGCTGCTGACTCTGCCAGCCCGGTCAGGCTCCCTGGGAGCTCCAGGGAACACAAACCACCACTGCTGCCAGAACCGGCGCCAACAAAACCAGCCTACAGAGGGTTTTCAAAATGCATTTGTTGGCACCAGGCATGAAAAAAAAAATTTGCCACCACTGATTTTGATTCTTAAAAATAGTTTGAATTGCCTCAGGTTAGATTTTAGGGAACAATAAACCAGGGGCATCTCCTGCAGCTTAAGGTCTGGGAAAGACCTCCAAGTCCATGTGTGTTTTACTGGTTATTATGGTGTAAGCTCCCAGTGTCTTTCATCGATCTGCCTAAAATCAGGGCAGTATTTTATACAGAAATAAAGGAATTACTGGCAAAGTTTTCAGTAGCATTTCCCCTCTTAAAATTCAAATGCTTTACAACAAAACAGCGAACTCGCAAAACTCCCACGAGGTACCACTTTCATTCACAGATGTCAAAATTTCTCTCACCCCTTGGCAGAGTAAATGAACACACACACAAGGTCACTGAAACAGTCTGAAATTTGTTTTGGTAAGAAAGAACATTGGGTTTATCAAACCCTGGAATTAGGGATCATTCATGCCTGAACTGGAACTTGGACAGTTTGCTTACAGAATATACTTAAATAGAATGTTCCTGCGAAGTGCATATTTGAACTAATTAACTATTTCTTGGAGTTTTACAAGATAATCACAGAACTGTTCAGGCTGGAAAAGACCTTTAAGACCATCAAGTCCAACCATCAACCAGCATCATCACCATGTTCACCACAAAACTGTGTCAAGTCCCACATCCACACATTTTTCAAACACTTCCAGGGATGGTGACTCCACTGCTTCCCTGGCGAGCCTGTGCCAGGGCTGGAAAACCCTTTCCAGGAGAAAAATGTTCTTAATATTCATCCTAAACCTCCCCTGGCACAACTTGAGGCTGTTTCCTCTTGTCCTGCCAACGAAGCTTTGCAGACACTGAGACACTTGAGCATCACGTGGCCAATGTGGAAGGTGGAAGAGCAAGAAGACAACTGCCCCATTTCAGCTGGATGCTTCACCCAAGGATAATAAACCCCCTTAACCCACCAGCATGAAAAATACCCGTTAACACGTGCAGACAGATTGCAAGTGATGGGGACAGAGCAGGGCAAAGCTAAAGATAATATTTCTATGGAGCAAAGAGACTCCTTCCACACTGCAGAAAGTCTGCACCTACAACTGCACCCATTGATCCAAAGGGAAGCATTTAGCTCAGAAGCTTGTTTCTCCAAGAAGTTGGAAGCTTTTTTGACCTTTTCCCCTTTTTTCCCCTCTTATGGTGACACTCCTTGCTAGTTCCTGCAGTTCCTTGACCCACTGAACAGGAACAGGTTGGTGATTCTTGGACAAGGACTTGCAACAAACCCCCACATCCTCTGCCCAAACCCACCCCTTTCCCACGGCAGGGAAGATCCTGAATATCCAGGCTGAAAGGGAACCTGAGAGAGCAGAGTGTGTGCAAGGAGTGTTGGAGGCAGCTCCCAGCAGCAACTCAGCTGCTCTGCCCCATAACAAGAAACTACGTGGGCCAGACACAGGAAGGACATCCCTGGGAGCCACGGCAGAGGAAGGCTCAGCTTCCAGCAGGAACACAACAGCAACTTTATGGGGGCTCAGAATATCTGGGGAAGAGCAATATCAGGGTTCATTCTGCACCCTGAAACACAGCTCTTCATACGCAAGTGGCCACGGGGTGTGCACAGCTACAGAGTCCCTGGCTCCTTCCTCATTTTATTTTCACTCTATTTTAAAAGCAGGAAATTTAAAATAACGAATTTAAAACCAGTAATTAAAAGATCCTATGTGAGCAGAGCAGCTGACACCTCACAGGGCTTCAGGGTTTTTTAACTCCCAGTTCTGATCGTAGCTTCACTCACTCATTTCGCCCGGGCGCTACTGGAATACTGCCAAAAAAGAACAATGCTCTGGAGAAAAGGCTTCCATAATAAGTCATTAGGACACCATGACAACAACAGGCTTGAACCTAAATGAAAGGAAAATTATTGCTGCAATCTCAAAGAGAAAATAAGTCAATGCACGTAGCACCTACCAGAGCCCTGCTTCCCAAAAATGCTGCTCAGCCTCAAAGCCGTGTGAAAATCCAGCATTTGCACAATCCTCACAAATAAGAAAATGCTTAAAACTAAGTAAAGCTGTTTCAAAGGACACCTAAGCCAGCAGAGATGTAAGAGCTGGTGCTGTCAGGGACAGAAATCCCCATTACACGGCTTTGTGTGCTGTTAACCACCAAACCTACTCTGAGGGATGGATACTCGACAGAGTTTGTACAATTGTTATTTTAGTAATATAAATCCTATTTTTAGTACTGTCTTCCTCAGACCTTTCGCCCTGTTCCTGCAGGATGAAGGAAACCAAAGCTGAAGATGTAACACGGGGTTGTTCAGTCCCCAGGCAGGTACACACAGGTCCTTCTCCATCCCATCACGGGGTTTGGAGAGGGATGATCTGGTTATGGAGAACCTGCCGGGTTCCCACTTTGCCATCAAGGGGAAGGTAAGTGGCAACTTGGAAACTAAGCGTTGGTTTGGGCTGGTAAGAGCTGAAGAACTCCAGCACCACCAGCTCCCGCGTGTAACTCCCCAGCTGGAATACGGACACACCGCGCTCTGGAATTTGGACTCTGCAGGTCCACCCGTGCTGAGCCAGGAGGAATTCAGGTAAACCCCTTCAACCACACAAAGGCTGCCTGGTTTGGGAATGCCAGCACGTTTGGGGGCAACAACAGCGGGTACAAAGCCCTTCGGATCACACAGTTTTACGAGAAACACAACACGTGGGAGGCACCGAAGGCGAACACACGAGACGAGTCCCCGAGGCAGAAGAACACTCAGGTTTACCTTGCCCAGCTCGGCTCTGACGGGAGTCTACACTTGCCTGTCTTCGGTCTGGTGGCTCCTCGTTCCCTCCATCTGCATGAGAACCAAAACAGCACAAGTAGAACATCATAGTGGACAGGTCAGGCAGATGCAACTTTTCCTTGAGTCCCATCACCTATCTGGGGAGAAGGGCAGGACAAAAGGTCCCTCTGGCAGACTGGAACCGGGGAAAGCGCTGCCCGGCTCTGCTGCTCCTTCCAGCTTCTCCCCAGCTCACTGTACATGGAATCCGTGAGGCCCTTGGGATAGGAGGAGGGTTTTAATTGCTCCTACTGACCCCCCAGGACATTGGAATGAAATAGGAACCAAATTGTGCATCTTCTCAACAAAAATTGTGCATCCTCAACGAGCTCCTCCACTCTGGACCATTATCTCAAAATATAAAAATATTGAGCATTGGAATAAAGAGATCTAGGAGAACAAACAAAAAAAAAAATTGAACTATGAAATTTGAAACTGTGTCCCTCTAAAATTATTTGTCAGCTAAAAGCTGGGAAGGCTGGGAAGAACAAAGCCACTGGTTACATCCTCTCGAAACTCTTTAGGAAAGCAGCTACAGTTCACAAATCCCAAACCCATCTGGATAAACGAAGAGTGGGACCTTGTGTACAATATTATACAATTAATTACAGGCTGCTCTTCATTGATCAACTGACCAGATTAGAAACAATAGATTCACCCATCAATACAGATGCTCGAGTTCATGGGATTTCTGGCAGCTGGGAGCACAAAGAAGCCCAGCTCTGCACAGTGGGAAGCAGCAAACCCAGGGGTTTCAAGTGCAGGATGTATTTCAGTGGTTCTTACCCCTTATGGCAGGGGAAGGGGAAGCTTTTAGAACCTTTAAGAATAGTTTTGAAATAACTGAATTCTTAAATAGCTGTTTAAAACCTCAATACTCAGGTTTAGCATTGAAACTTTCCGATGCTACTAAAAGCAGCTGCACTCTGATATATTTATAACTCTGGATATCTCTAAAGAAGTTATTTGTTGGAGGGTCCTGCTGTGCCATAAAGTAATTTATCAACTCCTATTACATGTGAGTTCTGTCTGGCTTAAAGTTGTGAACTGCAGTACAGTCTGGAAGTTGTGAACTGCAGTACAAGAGCAGAACTGATACAGGGACCAAAAATTTCAGTCTACTCCCATCCCCACCCCCCCCCAAAAAAAAGCAGGACCTCAGCCCAGGCTGGAGGACGGTTTTTGTTTCCTCTTCCCTTCCCAGCCCTCAGTTTCCCTGAAGCCCTGCTCAGGCACCTTGAACAGGTGCCAGCAAGGCCATTTTCTGTCACCTTTGCATCTCTCCCTGCTGACAAAGCAGCTGCACGTGAAGGTCACTCAGCTACAGCAACCCCGAGTATCAATTTATACCAACTGCTCCCTCCCCCATAAGGCATCGACTGCCAGGTGTCAGGGGGGCCACAGGTCAGGACACCTCCCCTGCTCCCTTTTCATTCTGGATGTGACACTGCAACCACCACTGCAAGTGGGATGTGTCCACAGGAGCTTTTATTAGCCTGGAGAGACCCTCCTGGGATTAGCTGCACTGAGCCTTCCTACAGAGAGCAGCACTGGCAGAGCCCTGTCTCTGGATCTGCACTGGTAACACCCAGCACTGGTTTGGACAATGCTGTGCACAGAGGTCACATCATCATCACCATCATCATCATCACTAAATGCCCACAGCTGCAAACTCCCATGGTCAACCTCTAAGCCGTGGAGAAAACAAAAACCTCTGAGCTCCGAACATAAATCCAAATGCAAAATAACTGAAAGGACTGAACGTTGCAAAATAAGACAAAGTCCCAATATTAAAATCAGGAGTAAAAACTTGTATTTGTCCGAAGCCACCTATCATCAGCAAAAGACAAACTTCATCCCTGAAAGTTCCCCCCATCCCTGGAAGTGTCCAAGGCCAGGTTGGACAGGGCTTGGAGCAATCTGGGCTAGTGGAAGGTGTCCCTGCCCATGGCAGGGGGTGGAATGGGATAAGTTTTAAGGTCCCTTCCAACCCAACCCAGTCTGGGATCTCTGATGATTCTGTGAATCAATCTCTTTGATCACTTGGAGAGGAAACACCTCTCCTGTACCATCACCTGGGTGTGTCAAACACAGCCCTGAGAACTGGCCAAAGCAGAGGCTTGGGGGCACCAGACACGGGGTACAACAGGGAACCCCCCCTTCCAAACCTCCCAGAGCAGAACCAAGACATTTCACTGCTCCCCTATTTGACCTGAGAAAACCAAACGAGCCAACACAGAGGAACCCAAAGGAGATGGGGATGAGAAGATCATCCAACCCTTTGTAGCACAAGATGACGGGACACACTCATCCCACAATTTTCCCAGAATAAACGTGATTTTTCCTTGCAGAATAGTGGTTTATTCAACTTCCACATGCGATCAGGGCCAGAAATAACAGAGTGGAAGGTGGGTTTGGGCAGCAGCTGCTCCCCAACATGCTCCAACACTCAATTGGTGGGACACAGAATGGTGACAATGCTCTGCCAAAGCCATCGGGGTGGAGAAGAGGAACAGCTGCTCAGGAGCCACAGTCTGGGACAGATCTCAGCAAGTTACACGATGTACGAAGGGGGAGAGAAAGCTCACAGCAAATTAACTTCCAGAACGAATTTAGGAGGGTGGGAAAGGTAAAAATAAACCAGATGACTCAGCAGATATTAAATCTTCAGTCGACTCACGGGCGCTGCTGCATCTGGTGTGGCTGCAGCAGAGGAGGAGCTTGGGGGAAACCCAGGGCACCCTGGGGGGCTCATCCTCATCCAGTGGCTTTTAGGGAATATTTTAAGAACTCCCCCAGCCAATGTGGTGCTCTCCCTGTGACAGAGGTCCAGCAGGGCAGGTTGGGCACAACCCAGGGGTTCACTGTAACCCAGGTAAGGCTGGTTTGGGAAGCCCTTTGCCCTCTGCCCAAGGACCACCAACCCTCCCATCTGCCCTGCCCTGCACATTCAAGTAAAAACAGTGGAAAACACAGAGCAAAATCCTGCAGCAAAATCCAGGCAGGAGGGATCCTCCAGGGCAGGAAAGAGGAAATGAAAATACTTGGAATAAAATAGAAAAAAATACAAACAAACAATGCTAGGGAGTGGAGAAGGCTGGCACCTGCAGAATTAACAAGTATGGTGAGAGGCACAGAGGCTGCAGGATGGGAAGGAACAGCCACAGTTAAGAGCTGAACAACTGAACTATTTAATATTTTTCCTCTCTTTGCTACAAATCAGAATGTTGAGCACACTCAGCTCCTGGCAGTGGAGGATCAAGGTTACCAGGGAACAACAGCACACATAATTAAAGAGTTATCTTCAAGTAGATGCAAAAAAAAAGGGGAAATTACTGTTGCTAAGGGAATATTAATTCTCACGTTTTCCATCCTCTCAAGTGCTCGAATTTACAGTGTTGATAAAGTCCATCTCTGTGTGCACATCAGGGCTCTGTCACTCCAACAACACTCCCAGTTATTTTATTTATGCACGATTTTCGGCAGTTGTCAGGATTTGCTTCAGCAATAACTATTATTTATAGACATGACCTACTATCTGGACAACAGTTTGGGGACAGTATCACTCGTGGAGTTCAATCAACTCAGTTGCTGTAACGATTGTGAACGCGGTGAAACACCAGAGTTATCGACAAACTCCCCCCATGCAACAGCTAAAAGAGGTCACCAGCAGCAAATCATTGTTGTGAAATCATTGCTGGAGAACACAGCTGTCTGTGTTAATTTAAAATAAAGATCAGAACAGACCCTGGTTAAGGAGCTTCTACAGAAGCTGTAATGAGAAACAGAAAACAGATATTCTTCACAAATGCCACAAGGGAAGTGAATAATATAGTAAATTTTACATAGTAAATTTATAGATGACTCAGTAATCTATATTCTCTTTCACCTTGCCAGGAGAGGCAGGAAAACTTCTGTGATTTTATTTTTTTTTTTAAATCTCAGTGTTAAGTCCATTAAGACTCACACATTATTTTAATTTCCAAAAGATGCTGTCTCATCAGTGCCCAGCATTCCTGCAGCTGGGATGCTGGAACCTGGGGGCAGAAACCCAAAGAGTGCCTGGTTCTGTGGCAAGCACAGAGTAAATAGTCACGGCCATTAATCCTTTCCCTCAGTTCCAGAGGTTGAGGAAGCTCAAGGATCATGGTTAGTCACAGGTTCAGCAGAGTAGCCTCTCCTACTGTAACCAGGTCTCAGGAATGCTCCTGCTTCCCCTTCTCCCCCATCCCCACCCCACCAGTTCTCCACCAAAACCAGTCACACAACAAACCCTCCCAACACACACAACAACTGGATCCTTTGAATGGGAAAAGACAATCCCAAGGGTTTCAGAATTCCTGAACAAATCCACTGCACAAAACACCACGTGGCCACGAGCATGAGGGGGCTGCCAACAGGAGCCAGACCCCTCTGCACCAGCACATCTGATCCCTGCAAACCCCACAGCTCCCCCAGTGTGATGTCAGCAAATCCCACAGCACTCCAATGTGATGTCAGCAAATCCCACAGCCCCTCCAATGTGATCCCAGCAAACCCCACAATGTGATGTCAGCAAACCCCACAGCACTCCCATTTGATCCCAGCAAACCCCACAATGTGATATCAGCAAACCCCACAGCCCAATGTGATGTCAGCAAACCCCACAGCCCCTCCAGCAGCACTTCACACCAGGTGTTCCCATTAAAGGCAAACACAACAAGTTTTACATAAAATCAAGTGCCAGCAGCCCGGTATTCCTGGTTTCCTATTTCATTTCCAACCCACACCGTGACTAAACGTCTCCCCGGACCCCTGATGTGACAAGGCAGTTTTGAAGGCAGATAATCCGGGGTGGGTGAGGCTGCTCCAGCACGCCGGGAAATCCGCAGCGGAGCTGGCAGAGCTCCACTGGAAGAGCTGATCAATAGTTTAAATCCATATGGTATCAAAAAGGCAGAGAAGACTCACACAAAGCCAGTCCAGCCGTTATTTAGGGCTCCGATCCCAGCCCAGCCCGGCATCCCTGCGGA